AGTCCAAAATATCCGTAGAACACCAAATTGGAGAACGCTGACATATACTGTATGGTCAATAAATTTCTCCCAAAAAATTGTTACGGAAATATATATCCCTTTGTTTTCTGTGGTGATTGGGGGCAGGAGAGGATCAAAGTATATTTGCTACACTGTAAAAGTACTGGCTGTGTAGTGTACAGATTTTTGCATGTAAACCGAGGATGAAGGGGGGAGGGGGTAGCTAGTAAATTTAATAGGAAGAAAGTTTCAATTTCAGATCAGTTAGTAACAAAAACAAACAAGTGTACTTGCTTCATGAGTTATTTTATTTCAGTTTCTGATGTAGAAGAAAAGAATTCAGCTGAACAGTGGTAGTCTGTGGATCAGTACGTATTCCTGAGTCATTACCTGCTGGTCCCTGAGAAGCTTCCTGAAAAGAAAAAAAAATCAGTTGTAAATGCGTACAAATATGGTATTGATCCCTGGCATTGTGGGAAAGAATAAATGCTGGTACCCCACATCAGATTGCCTAAGAAGCAGTGCTCTAGTTCAGGGGTTGGAATTATGTGACCCTCCTGATGTTGGGCTGTAACTCATAGGAACCCTAGCTAATGCAGCTAATATTGATTATAGTTGGGCTTTGCAATCCAATGGGGTTTAGAGGGCTTCACAGTTCTAACTTTTGCTTTAGTCACAGTGCATTCTTTTTGAACACGATTCCCTCATACAACTCAATATTACCTTGATATTTTCCCATGTTGACTGAGGCTATAGTAGTAACAATATAGAAAAAAGTTGTAGGGACTAATAAGTTTTTACCCCCAGTAGGCCAAGCATTAATACCATATTTGTGCATTTTGGCATAAGTTATTTCTTTTCTGAAAAATAGTAGCTGGTAGCTTGTGGCTCACCACTACTCCATGTACCACCATTTTGAATGGTAGTGATGCTGAAAATACAAAAGGTACCAACTTGGCATGCATCCAGTTTTTAAATGTATGGTCACTAATAATTCTGTATCTCATTTTGCTACCATACAAGTGTATTTATGTTTCTTTATTGGTGGATATTAGAGTTCATATCCTAAATAAATACATTTGAAATTGTATCTGTTTCATTTACCGAAATAACTGGAGCCAGTGTAGTGTAGTGATTTGAGTGTTGGATTAGGACACTGGGAGACCAGGGTTCAAATTCTCTGCTTTTCCATTGCAGCCTATTAGATAGCCTTTGACAACTTGGACGGAAGAGCAAACTCCTGGACAAATTCTGCTAATAAAGCCCTGGGATTTGGTTTACCTTATAGTTACCATAAGTGACAAATGACTTATACAACAACAGTAAAAACTAAGTGTCGTGATTCTAAGAATCTATGATTCTAAGTTAGAGGTGAGAATCACCAGTTTTTAGAATTTTGAATGCACATCTCTATATACTATATGGTATAGAAAATTTTCCAGGCTAAGCCTACTTGTTAATATTCAGCAACAAGAGGTCTAAGAGAACAGGAGATCAACTAAGCTTCATTCTTATATTTGAAGATAGTTATTTTAAGCACAACAAATTCTTGTAGAGCCCTAGTATTACTACAAGGTGCCATACGTATTTGTTTTGCATTTTGCCTTGCTTCTTGTGCACTTGATTCTTAAAGTAATTATTACATACTGCATAATACAATGAATGAATTTGCAGGAACAATGTGATCTTATCTTTGTTTTTATTGTTAAGTCTATGCTTTGGCAGATAAGGATCCCTGGAAGCTTTTTCTTAACAAAGCCTGTTGTAACAGATATTTAAACCCCTAATAGCCCTGAGAAAGAGACATAGAATTGCTGTAGCACTGTATTACAAAGATGAGACATCGAAGTTGTGTTCACTGAATGCAGCAGAGCAGATTGTGGCTAATGTAGACCTATAGTGGCAAAAATATAGCTTGTTTGTCTGGGTGAGAAAGCTGATTTAGATGCTCTCATTGTTGTCCAGAGCTGCTTTCAGTGAGATGGTACTATTGGACTTCAATGTTTAAGCAGTCTGCAGGCAAGTATTGGTCATTGGTGTATGCTTAGAATACGCACTTGAATGCAGTAACTCAACAACTTAAAGAAAATATTTGATTACTTTTCAATGCTGTTCAGACATTTTGGGCATTTGTCTGAAATTAATAGTGGGGTAGTGCAAGTCTGACAGTGGTACTTGAGAATAAATACATGATCAGTACTATAAAAATGGTCTTCATGGGATATGTGTTTGGTGAAAGAGGGGTTGCATGTTCAGTACTAAGATCTCATTTTTAGTGAAAACCTAAATTTCTTTCACATTGTTCATTCTCTCTACTCTGCAATCAGAGCAGCTCATGATTCTGTGGTATGTTAAGTGTGTAAATATTTATTTGTGAAATATTTTAATGCTGCTTAGTAAAAAAAATTGTTTGAATGGATCTCTGTTGAGAAAGAATTAGCAAAGGACAAGATACCAATCACAAGAAACTTATATGCTGTACACACACAAAAATTAATCACAGTTCCATTTTCATAGAAAGCTTTAAAATATGTTTTGGTCATTCATTTAAGGAGATTACAAAAACTTCTGACGCATTGCATTTCTTACTATCCACTTCTAATAAGAAGTTGTAATTTATCTCTTCACTATTGGATAAAGGATTTGTATCATAGTGTTTGAGAAGCGTCTGGCTAATTTATTTGAGAATTCAGGGCACTACTATTATTATTGTGGTTCTTGCTAGTAGCCATTTCAATAAATTAACCAAGAAATATAAGTGAATATTTGTTTAGCTTAATGATAGACTGGGTTATCTTGAATTTAAATAACACATAAACTAATTGTCTGGCTTTATGTCACCTTACTTTCCTCTTGTGTGTCATAATTTCTGTTCTTATTTGTCCATACACACACACATAGGAAGCTAGATTTCTATAGATAAGTTGCTTTTTACATTTGTGTAGAAGAGTAAGCAGCACAGTGATTTCATAGAATTAAAGATAGGAGATAATGTTTTGGAATGTCTATGGCAGTGGATTCCTAATTTTGTCAACTGGGTGGTATTCTGTCATATTCAGTGGTATGATATTTGAAAAAAACAAAGCTTTATTGTAGCCATGAAAGGGAGTAAATATCGTATCTACAGTTGGAAATTATTGGAAAAATACAGAACAGTTATGAGGAAATTCCTTGCCCATCCAGTTTGGAAGGTAATAACAGATTTGCCATGTTTGGTCATGTGCCAGAAGCCCAGCTCCATTATTAAACTTGCAAGCTGAAGTGGGATGGAAATAGTCACGACCTCTGAGGATGCCTGCCATAGATGCAGGCAAAACGTCAGGAAAGAATGCTTCTGGAACATGGCCATACAGCCCAAAAAACTTACAGCAACTCCGTTTTCACAGTTATACATCCAAGCACTTGACATTCTTGACCTTCTGGTGGCTCAGGGAAAAGGAGGGGGGCAGGTTCTGGCAGTTACAAATTTTGCCTTAGTTTTCAGCGCTAGGCAAAAATTGTTAATCTCTTGTCTGTGTACATGGTTGTGGATTGTAATCTAATTAATACAATGTTGTGATTCCCATTTAAACCAGAAAAATTACTGAAATAATCAGTGTTGAGAATAGTATGTGCCCTACAAAATTTTATGTTTTAATGGAGAAATTTAAAAACTACAGTTGGACTGACCATTGCATAATGTTGAAAATTCAACAGATGAAACCTCTCTTAAAATAGCCCTGTCCCCATATAGAATTAACAATATATTTAATGTTGTAGCTAAGATGTATGGCATTTATTAACTTCCTGTTGTAAAAATTTCAAATTCTGAAAGAAAGTTGTTTGATTTTGTATAGTATTTTCAAATTCTTACTTAATGTTTGAATTGTAAATATAACTGAGAACTGAAACCAGAAACAATTTCCTAAAACAAATATGTCGAAATTGAAGAGAGCAAAGAAAATGTAAACAGAGACGTGGTTCTTTAAAAAAATTGTTTTAAAGAACCAATGTATTGAGATTGCCCACTGAGCAACCCATTTAATATTTCAGATTATTGATGCACTAAAATCTTTTGAGATTTTGTGCTTTTGGAAGGACTTTGCGAGGTTCTTTGCACTACTACTCAGTAATTTGTGTCCTGTATGTAGACAGTTCATTAATCACTGAATCATTTCAGTAAAACCACCAGACGAAAGACAGTTCATTAATCACTGGATCATTTCAGTAAAATCACCAGATGAAATCCTACTGTACTGTTAAATCAGAGAAAGAGCAGTACCAGATGGAAATGTAGTAGAAAATCATATTATGTACATAAAGATTCAGCAACATCTCTTGCTCACTCAGTTTTTCACCTAAAACACTTGATTCATTAAGTAACATTGCTGTGGTATACTGTTATTTTTTTCAGAAAGACTTGTCTGTAACCTTACTGGTTTTAGATATAGACAGTATAGCCATATAGAGGTTGTTAGAAATTGCCTGATACCAGTAGACATGTTAATCATAACCACAGGTTGAAACGGCACAAAGATTAACCATGCATTGCAACCAATTCAAGCAGAATCAAGCTACTTGTTAAGTGACAGTAGTATAGCGAGCTGTCGCCACATGATAATCACAGCACTATTATTTAAACTGCTAACATGAAACAGGTCATAGTCATATGATGTTACTAATGGAAGTTGTGCCTCAAAAAAGATTGAGTACAAAAATTATGTACAATATTGGACTGAACTGCTTTTGATATATCTTGCTACTTTTACACCGGAAGAAGCCTCTAGAAGGTGTAGAACATCTGTTGGTTTCACTAATCAGATTTCAGTTTTATTGAGATTTGGGATACATCAGCAACTATTTTGGTCTTATGGGGAGACCAAAATGTCTTTATAATACTAAGAATATAAAAATAACTTTCTTGAAGTGTTAAATTGTTAAATTTTAATATGTTAAGACAGGTTAGAAAATAATCAGAATGACTTGGGTTCTGGTAATTGATGTTTACTTGCATTTTTCAGGAGAATAAAAGAGGCGTCTTATAACAAAATGAGAAAACATCCACCAAACAGAAGAGGTATCAGCTTTGAAGTGGGAGCCCAGTTGGAAGCCCGAGACAGATTAAAAAACTGGTATTTCTTATTTCATGATAAAACTTGGATACATTTTTGTGATGCTGTCCGATTGTGTTATAAACAGGGAGTCAAACCAAAACACATTCCAGTTTGCATCTGATTCTGATTCAGCTGTTAACAAAATTATCCTGATATAGACCTGAATCCACTTGATTCTGTTATAGTTCATATGAGATAATATAAATTTGCATAAATGATAAGGTGGTTAGTATCAAATTGATATTTCTCATGATGTTACAAAATGCAATCTATCCTAATGCTAGTCAGTTAAATATACTGAAAAGAAAAAAAAACTCTCTTCACATACCAAATTTAAAAAACATTTAGAAAAAAAAACAATGCTTCAAAAATGTTTTAAGGCTTGGTGTCCCTTAAAAAATAGTGATTTGTTAGAGTGGAAATCAGCAATGAACTGAAATGTTCATTCCTCTTGCTTCATAAATATGACTTGTAGAGAAACTTCTCAATTTGTTAAAATTTATTCACGTGATGTCTGAATCGGGAAACACCAATTTAAACATTTCCTCCAAACCAAGATAAGTAAGTATATTGTCTAAATACATGTCTTACTTTACTGTGAGTAAACCCAGTAAACCCCCCCCCCCATTACCATTGGTGTCAGAAGGTTTCTACTTTTGATCAACCATAACTTCCCATATTGAATCTACACTCTGTTTAGTTCTAAATAAGCCCACTGTGATTTAAATTATCATAACTAAGTTAAGAGTAGTCACATTCCCAACAATATTTACCTGTACTGTGGTTAATCAAAAGCAAAAATTATTGAGCTCTTTCTTCTAGCTATGCAAAGGAATGGAGTGCCCATGCCTTAGAAGAGACAAGGTTCATACACACCTCACTAACCATAGCATGACATGGCATCTGGAAGTATTTATTATGTCTGAATGAGACCTAATATTATAGCAACTGGCTGAAAATTCTAGCTGAAGAGAGGCACTTTACAGTGCTCAAAAAATATTGTCTTTTCCTCCTCTTTCCACCCCAAGGCTGTTCAGTCTGCTTACATTGGATTGAATGTTTAAGGAACAGATTTCTATCCTACTTGCCACAGAAACCTGGATAAAACTATTATATATGAAAATACTTCTAGATATTAGTTCTGCAAGCTCGTTATTCTTGTTGGAAGCCTGTAAGTGATTATCAACTTCAGTTTTTTAAGTCATACCCTTATTACACATTAATATTCTGCAGTTTTTCCAGATTTTCTTCCTAATCTAGTTCAATCACTGATATGAGATAAAAAATACTCTTACCGATTTTTTCCCATTTCTGTATTTTCTATGGATAGTTTCCCATATCTAAAAGCACATTGTCCCATAATAATGAGTGTAATGAATTGATATAATAATCAAATTGGGCAGAATTTTAACGTGTATTTCAGATGTCTATCCCTAGAAAGTGCATGAACAGTGCTCTAAGCATGCTGAAATTATTGTTTTATTTCCAGTGCTTTGAATTTTTCTTAAATCATAAGTAATATAAACATCTATATATTGTTGAATTGACATGCCTTAAATAATAACCAAATGAATAATGTTTAGTCTTGACTATTACAAAAATTGATGTTTGTATGACATTTAAAATCAATGTGAAATATAAAGAAATGTGTTGATTTAATGTGAAAAATGCTAAATTGGATTCTGGTTGATTTAAGACATACAATATTTGATTCATTTGTTTCTAGAAAACCGAAATCAAATTTAACGTAGACAAATTATTACATTAAATTCCAGCTTTGGTAGAATGATCGGGATTTTAGTTATTTATTTAAAGTTTTGATTGGGTTTGACTCCCTGATATTGAATATGTTCTTATTTAAAATGTACATGTAATATCCATGTACTTTTCTATCTTTTCTTTTTTTAATCATCTTTATTATACAGTCTCCATTGTTTTGGGCATAATACAGAAAAGAAAAAGAAAGGAAAGGGAAAGAGAAAGAGGAGAAAAAGAGAAAGAAAAAAATTGAAAAGAGGGACAAGCAGGGGAGGTAGAAGTGGTAGTGGGGAGGAGATGAGGAAGGTAAACAGAAAAATGTGATAGACCAAGTAATATTGAACTTCCAATTAGGTTCACAGGGTTAATTATAGAAAAAGTACTTGTTGCTTATAGTCTGTCGGTGTTTTACAATCGCCTTCCCTTTTACTCTATCTGTATTGAATGTACTTTTCCATCATGCAATCTATTACTGTATGTTTATATGTAGTAGAGTTCATATCTGTTCATGCCAACTTAGAAGCAAGTTCTGTTAAGTTAATACATATAGGTAAAAGATTATCGTCTTAGTTTTTGAATCATTCTAAAGTTGACTAGGGGATACTGCTTTACTGGTATAGGTTTACTGATTTAAAATCCTATGTGACCAGGTAGCTCAATAATGTAGACATACCACACATAAAAGAAGCACACTGAGGCTGCAAAGATACAGTTGGCAAGGACATTCCTGCTCTGCTCTCATCACAAGAGTCAGAAAAGGGCATGGGAATCTTCTGTACTGTTGATTACAATAAAATAATGGTATCAGTTGAAATTTTTAAATAAAGCATAATACATACACTTTTCAATGTGTGATTAGTAGTTCAAGTAAAACCAAAATTTAGCCCCTATGGGCTGTAAGAGAAAATCTCCAGTTCAGCACTTTTAGAATCATAGAGATAGAAGAGACCTCATAAGCCATCCAGTCCGACCCCCTGCCAAAAAGCAGGAAAATTGCATTCAGAGCAACCCCAACAGGTGGCCATCCAGCTTCTGTTTAAAAGCCTCCAAAGAAGGACCTTCCACCACACTTCTAACCAAAGAGAGGAATATGACTTAGTTATGTTCTAAAAGGCTAGTTACTGTGTGGCAGAAAATGATTCACAAGACTAGAAAAAGTACTTCTTTGTATTACATAAAGATTTGATATTTGGGTTTTCATCGTAAGGAACAGGCAATGGACACATTTTTGGAAGTCTGAACTGAAGTTATAGACTTGTGCATAAAAAGGAGTATTTCTCTCTTGGAAGCACACTTTATGTCAGCCTTTTTGTTAGATTTACTATAAGGTGATATTTGAGACATTCTACTGTTTGCTGAAGGTGAAGCAGGCTTAGGATGACAAAGATACCCTTTTACATTATAAAAAAATAGCAATTTCATAAATAAAGTTGGTATTTTGCCAGTGATCAAACATCGTGTTCTTTTTAAAAAAGAAAAAGAAAGACATGCTATAGAAAATACTATAGAAGAACTGTGTGATCCAGTTTGACAAAGCCATCACACTGACATGAACCCTGAAGATGTTTCTGCAGAGAATAATTTAAAAATAAAAGTATCAGTAGTGTCAACAGTAATAATGGTTAATAATTTAATAGTAGTGAAAACAGAATAGTAATGACATTAATAGACAGTAATAATGGCAAGGTAATAGCAATAATCATAACAATAATGGCAGTACTACAACTACTGGTACTACTACTAATAATAATAACCACAATAGTCATAACAATATTATTATTATTATTATTATTAATAATAATAATAATAATAACAATCATACTTTTATCTAAAATTGTCCAATTTTCAATATTCATTCAGATTTAACTGCAAACAATCGTAGGATTTCTTCAGTTGTCATTTCAACATTGTGGGGCTCCCCAGGAGTTCCTGGACCCCAGGTTGAGAACCACTGATTTCATGAATTATAATTACATTCTTAAGAGTAAGACTTACACAGCCGATTTGAGTCCCCTTTGGGGGAGATAAAGTGGGATAAAAATGAATAAATAATAATATAAACAGAAGTCATTTGAATAAACACTTCAATACAGAAAGTGCATTTTAAAAATTTCTGAGCTTTAGTCTGAGATGTAAAGTTGATGGGAAACAGGTGTACTGTTATTATTGTCATGTTATAAAACACCAGGGCTGTCCCCTATTGAAATATACAAATTATTTGCCTTATATGTAGACTCACCTACAGATGCAAAGTAGAGATTATGTGCTGAAAAAAAAGAGCAGCGTTGGCTGTTTGACAGAATTGAATGTAGTAAGTAAAAAATAAACACCTTTAAAGTACCCATGTTTATATAAGGCATAATATCAGAAGACAGTTCAAGTAAAATGTTTCAGACCTCTTGGATTTCAGTCCCTTATATAGTTTGTAAAAAAAATAAAAATGTTTGCCCTAGATGTGCATAGTGAACCGTCAACAGAGGCTATGAACTTAATTGGAAAGAGTTTTGTGTTTAGGACCCTTGCTGTAAGCGACAAAACTGAGTGTAAACAATTGATCAAACAAAGACGTTTCAAGCATTTCAGCCAATCTGTGTATTTTCCCATTACTTGAAAAAAATTAGATCATTTTATGATTTTTATTAGCTTGCTAATTCAGTTTGAAGTAAGCTGGTAAAGATTAGGAATCTTGATCAAACTGGGAAGTATTTATCTTACCATTGTGGCAACATACAAACTGAGAGAATGAAATTGATTTTTGATTTCAGCTATGTTAGAGAAAACTTACATTAAAACAACTGGTTTTAAATTACTGACATCCTGGTGTGGTTTGGGGGAGGACGGGTCACAGGTGATGGGATTTGCAGCACTTTCCATCGCTTCAGCTCCCACAGACCACAGCAATGCCCATCAATGATGGAACTGGGCCAAATTTGGCAAACAGAACCCCCATGACCCATTTGACATCCTGGTGTGGTTTGGGGAAGGGGGGCACACCATGGATTATGGGACTTGCAGTACTTTCACTCACTTCCTGAGACCACTGCAACCCTCATCCCAGTGACTGATCAAGACCAAACGTGGCACACAGATCCCCCATGATCCACTCTATTTATTTATTTATTTATTTATTTACTTTACTTTACTTGTATACCGCAGTTTCTCAGCCCAACAGGCGACTCAACGCGGTTTACAACAAGGATAAAAAACAATCAACGATATACAATTTAAAACCATAAAAGCATAATATACAATATTGACACAGCCCTAGACAACACAATACATCTCGTAACTGGAGTCGTGATCCAATCCGTCGTCCAAATATCCATTCCTGTAATCATCACATTCATTGCACTGTTTAACCGAATGCCTGTTCAAACATCCAAGTTTTTAATCTTCTTCGGAACACCATTAGCGAGGGGGCTGATCTTACCTCCATAGGAAGGGCGTTCCACAGCCGGGGGGCCACCACAGAAAAGGTACATCCTGGTACTGTTTGGAGGAGGATTGACCATGGATGATGGGACTTACAGTACCTTCACTCACTCCCTGAGACCACTTCAACCCTCATCCAATGACTGATCAAGATCAAACGTGGCACACAGAGCCACCATGACCCACCCTACATCCTAGTGCAGTTTGGAGGAGGATGGACCATGAATGATGGGACTTGCGTATGGGAGTTGTAGTTCACCCGCACCACTGAACCCACCAGACATTGGATCTAGACTAAAACTGCAACACAGACAAACAATACATATCTCAAATAACCCAGGCACTGCTGGGTCCACAAGCTAGTTTATATATGAAGTCAACTTATATCCAAGTACGTATGGTACCTCTTTTTGCTGTAAATTATTAATAAACTATCTGTTGTTGATGGTTATTGGAGGATTTGGGGTATCCTTGAGAAAAGGCGTCTTAATATTTTAAGTTAATCTCTGGAAATGTTATTGCAGGATAATTCTTCTTGTAAACACTTAATGTAAACAAACATTTTAGCATTTGTGATAATATTGTATTTCCCCGAAAATAAGATTTACATTAATTTTTGCTCCAGAAGATGCATTAGTGCTCATTTTCATGGAATGACATATTTTTTCATGTACAATAATCTATATTGAATCAAATATAATAATGTCATTTTCTTCTGGATCATGGTCATAATATTATGTCAATAATATTTATATTTAATGAAATATTAATATTGTTATTTTATAATTCAATATATCCATTGTATATTGCAATGGATGTACTACTGTAAATGCATCCATCTTGCTGACGATCTTATCTGGGGTAGCAGCTCCAGTTGGTACTGAGAAATGATTATCACCTAGTTTCATTACACTAAGGATTCCAAGCATCTCTTTATGATTCTTAGAATGTTATGTGGTTGATGAGGTCAAATAGATGCTTCTCATTGCACTATTAAACTAATAGTTGTGGTAGAAAGCGCAGGGCATTTATGGAAAAGGATGGATAAAAAATCATTACCTGAACATAGTATAATTTGTATGAAGTGTGAATTATGCCTCAAATTTTATATTTCTATATATTTTCCACTTTATTAATATTTACTAGAGTTTAATCCAAAAAGAAAATACACTTTCTCTTTTCTTTACTAATGGATGATTATAGAATTAATTTTGGATTCAGTGAAAGTCATCATACATAAAGCCATTTGTTTATCACTTTTTTACTTTAGTAGCCCTAGAAAACATGATTATGAAATTATTTATAATTTTTGAATGTACATATTCTGTCCATTTTCATTATGTATTCCAATTTTATTAACAAGTATGTTTCAAACTAACTTTCTTTATATAGGTATCCAGCTCACATTGAAGAAATTGATTATGAGGAAGGAAAAGTGCTTATCCATTTTAAACGCTGGAATCATCGTTATGATGAATGGTTTTGTTGGGATAGCCCTTATTTACGTCCTCTAGAAAAAATACAGTTACGGAAAGAAGGATTACACGAGGAAGAAGCATCTTCTGTAAGTAAAAACAAGCGTAGTTACTTTACTATAGTTGCAATACTTTGTAAACCTGAAAGTTAGTCGAAGTCAACAATTACTTTTCGCTTTGTGCATGGACGGTTGCTAGATTGATTATAAATATTGCAACCAATATTAATTTCTTTCATATTGGCATTTAGCAATTTGTCAGAATTGCTTGCTGCTTTAAAGTTTGTTTTAGAGTACAATCCTGTAATAGCTATCTAGAAATGTGTTCCATCGTCTTCATCAAGACAGACAGCCTAATAAAACAGTATACACTTGCAGTCCTGTACACGCCAATTATTAATAGTTTGGTTCTTTTTCAATTGCACGTTTCCAGATTTGTGTACTTTAACATACTCTTCTGAATCTTAAATTAGGGCTTTGGTATTTGGTGTACCCTTTCTGAAAAATACATTAGTGCATCCTACTAAGGCTGAATAGAATGAGTATAGCAGAATATTACGCAATAGCATATGGAAAGCCACTGTCAGAACAGAACATGGATAAACAGAATGGGTTCCAATTGGAAATGACATCAAGCAAAGCTGCATTATATCACCCTATCTGTTTAATTTATATGCAGAACATATATGGAAAGCAGGATTATACTTTGGAAGAAGGAGGCATGAAAATTGGGGTAAGGAACATGGACAATTACAGATATGCAGATGACACTGTTACTAGCAGAAAATAGCAAAGTCTTGGGACACCTGTTGAGGAAACCAAAGAGAAAAAAGTCCTTCCATTGAACATTTAGAAAACAAAAATGACTATAGATGATCAACATAATATGTAGTGGAAGAGGAAAACATTGAAATAGTTAAATATTTTCTATATCTTGGCTCAGTCATAAATCATAATGGAGATTAGTCAGAAAATTTTAAGAATAGGGCTTGGAAGAGCAACTATGAAGGAACGGCACTAAGATTCCAAAGTGGAGAGATGTATCATTGAGTACCAAAGTCAGGATCATCTATGTCTTAGAGTTTCTGACTGAGAGAGCTGAGAGAAAGAATTCATTTGAAATGTTCTGAAGGGGTGTTCTGTGGATACCATGAACTGCCAAAAAGAGAAATAAATAAGTCTTAACAGCAATTCAGCTTTCCTTAGAAATCAAAATCAAAGCTTGTCTTATTTTGGTCATTTCTGGAGATGGCATGCCTCATTAGAAAAGTCTAATATTTAATGAATTTGAAGGCAGTAGGGATAGAGGAAGATTGTGTTACAGGTGCAAAAACTCAATGAAGGAAGCCACACCCTTGAGTTTATAAAACCTTAATAACAGCTTCTTTTGGAAGACAGCCATTCATATGGGCACCATATGTCAAGGCGGTTACCAACAAGTGGCATATAAAATTAGTAATACCAGGTTCAGTTATTGAGTTAGTTATTTGACACACACCACCTGCCTTTCTCTTGGCAAAGGAGTCAAAATCCAGTTAAAACAATTTAAACCACATTTCAAACAAAATTAAGTGATAAAAAGCTGCACACAACATGGAAAACTACTTTCTGCCACGTTGCTCTTATTATTTATATCTGGCATCCTCAAACTGCAGCCCTCCAGGTGTTTGGGCCTCCAACTCCCAGAATTTCTGACCATCAAACAAGCTGGCTAGGGCTTCTGGGAGTTAGAACTGCACACCTGGAGGGGTGCAGTTTAAAGATGCTTGATTTGTATCCTGCTTTTTTTTCTTAGTTTGGAATTCAAAGCGCATTACAACAGATTAAAAAACACATATTTTAGTTAAAAATGGACAAAGTGCAAAAGTTAAAAAGATATTAAACAATAAAAAAATTAAACAGTTAAAGTGTAAACCTTTATACAGCACACCAGTACAACTGCTAGAAGCACATTTGGCTGAACCTTATAAATGAATCCTCAAATGCTTGTCAAAGCAGAAAAGTATTTACATATCTTTGAAAAAGAAATAGGAAGGATGCCAGTTTAACCTCTCCAAGAAACAAGCTCCAGAGCCTGAGATGGCCTTCTAAGTTCCTACTAGATGTACCCATATACTCAAGTATAAGTCTAGAAATTTTAGTTTAAAAAACCCAAAAAAATCTGGGCCAACTTATCTGTGGGTCATTTTGAGTACTGTACCTTAACTCCTACCAAAAAAGGAACAATTCCATTATTTGAGTAGAATGGCAAAAGGCAAGAGATTAGTCCATCCCAGGAGAACCTAAAAGAAGCACCAACCCTCTCTACTCTCGCTGCTGTAATACTGCTTCTGGCTTTTTTGACTGCCTGGGCATGGAAATCATGGCGGTGGCAACCAGGAGTTGCTGGCACCCTAAGGTGGAATTGATACTTTCCCCCCTCCACAGAATAACTCTTGACTCATCCATGGGTCATATCAAAATACATAATTCTGGCCTCAAAACTTGCCTTCAGTTTATATCTGGGATTGACTTATGCATAAGTATATATGGTACCTGTGAAAATGGTGGGACAGGAGTAAGGGTCTCCCCAGCAGATGCCAAAGCCTAGCAAGAATTTTAATGAAGAGTACAGTTCTTTACATAACTAGGATTTGAACCATATAGGTCGAAACTACTATCTTGAATTGTGCCCAGAACCAGATTGGCAACCAGTGGAGCTGTTGCAAAAAAAGGAGTTGTGTATGTCCTGTGGCCACCAAAAGCACGCCTTCAAAAAATCCTTTTTTCCTGACAGTGGAAAGAGAAGGGACAAACTGAACCTCCCATGGGAGGGGTATTATTGCCTACAGGATAGGCTATTTCAAAGCTATAATGCAATTATATATTTTATACACTTGTTTTATATAACTTAAAATTCTAAGTGTTTCTCTCTTTTTCTAGGGTTTTCGTATAAATGATCAGGTATTGGCTTGCTGGTCTGATTGTCGTTTTTATCCAGCCAAAGTTACTTCTGTTAACAAGGATGGTAAGAATTAATTATTGATTTCGTAGTATATGATAGTGGTAGAATTCTTGCATTCATCACTCTTGTTGAAAATAAAGACCAGCTATATTTCTTGTTCTTTCTGTTTATGACAGCATTTAAGAATGTTATGGAGAATTGAATCTGTGTTACTTCTGGATACACAAGACTGAAATTTAGTGCAAGAAAACATTTGTGAATGAATACCCATTGGTATATTCAGATATACATTGCTATAAGCAAATGAATCAGACCTGCAGGGTAAAGACACTGTTTATTTTTCTACAGTTCATAGTGATTTTTTTCTCTTTTAAATTTCAGGTACTTATACTGTGAAATTTTATGACGGTGTGATTCAGACAGTCAAGAATATACATGTCAAAGCTTTTTCCAAAGATCAGGTAGTACATTTAATTCTGTATCCATTTTAAAAATTAAATTTGGGTCTTTGGAACAATTTTCACCTTATGTGACTGTAATTTGAATGTAATATTAAGCCATACATTTCCTCTTCATTTTTAGCCTATTGTGAATAATCCAAGGCCAAAGGAGAGAGGTAATGAAATCCCTTCATCTCCTGAAAGATGGGAAAAGTTTAAAGAACAGAGAAAAGCAACTGAGAATCATAAGAAAGACAAGGATGAAAAGACGTTAAAGATTGAAAGAAGGTCTAAACCTGATAAAGAAGGAAAGCTAATAATACCTTTAGAAAAAATCAAGGTATCTGAAAAGACTTTACCCAAGGATGGGAAAGAAGACAAAGAGAATATTTCTGAAAATGATAGGGAATTCTCAATAGACTCCCAGATTGAGAAAAAACCAGAAAATGATAATGTGAAGACGCCACCAGACAACCTCAAAGAAACCAAAAGACGACGTGGCAGACCGCCTGTTGTGGCTCCAGCAGGTCAGTGGTAACAAGTAAAACTAAGCCTTCTTCTAGGAGATGGCTTGGCTTCTAATATTTAGAGATTTGTGTTTCAGCCATATTTTAGAACAGTGGTTCCCAACATTTTTTGATCAGGGACCACTCTCCAACATTAGTACCAAAAATGGTTACGAATCAGGTCAATTTTAGATTCAGTTTGGTTATTTGGGGGTGCTGATTGAGAAAAATGCATTGGATAGACCACATCAGCTCTAGTTTCCGATACAGAACATATGCCATCCAATAGTTGCCATCTGTTCGGCCACAGAAAACCATATGTAATAATCTAGAGCTGATGTGGTCTATCTAGTGCAATTTTCTCAATCAGCACCCCCAAATAATCCCAGGAACAGGCCTAAAGACGAAGACACCAAGAAATTTTTTTTTGGTTGGGCTGTGTTTATCAGTAGATTTTATTAATGCTCATGTTAAAAAGGAGGGGGGGGGGCTGAGGTTTGAAAAAAATACAAAAAGGGGAGCGCAAGACCCAATAAACTGCCCTGGAAGGCTTTAATAACAACAACAACAACTTTGGGGGACTAAAAAGGGTCTTACAAAGGGCTGCTTTCCCATTACAACTCTTGTGTTTGGTAATGTGAGCTAGTAGTAGTAGTAGTAGTAGTAGTAGTAGTAGTAGTAGTTGCTTTGGGGGACTAAACAGAGTTTTACAAAAAGCTGCTTTCCCATTACAACTCTTGTGTTTGGCAATGCGAGCAAATAATAATAATTACTTTGGGGGACTCTCTTTTTCTTTAAATTTCTTTTTCTGTCTCTGCAGCTGGAACAAAATTTGGGTTATTATTTATTTATTTATTTCACAGTTTTGTATACCGAGCTTCTCAACCTCGTCGAGGGACTCAGCCCGGTTTACAGCCATAAAAACATATACATTCATTAAAATATCATATATCACAAATTACAAAACAACTTTAAAAACACTAAATATAAAACTACAGTGGTCAGTCGTCCTAATAAGATGGATCTATATCCACTTCCATCCAGAGTCCTATGGTGTTGTCTCATTCCTCGAAGGCCTGACTCCACAGCCACGTCTTCACCCGTTTCCTAAATGTTAGGATGGATGGGGCGGTTCTGGCCTCCAGAGGGAGAGAGTTCCAGAGTCGTGGGGCCACCACCGAGAAGGCCCTGTCCCTCGTCCCCACCAGACGCGCTTGTGAGGCTGGTGGGACCGAGAGCAGGGCCTCTCCAGATGATCTTAGTAATCTTGATGGTTCGTAGTCTCAATGTAGTCTCATTGATATGATTTGTTCAAACTTTGCATTATATCATTTGACTGCTTTTCCTACATATCTTACCGTTTATGCCACCTAATTTCTTAGATTTTCTTTTATTTAGTAAAACACTGTGTAATGTCCAGCTAAAAATGTTCCATTCCTGTCCAGTTTAGCTTGCTCATCCCAGATACTGCAATTTTTACACATTCTGTTTCATGGTTTACTGTGTCTAGCTTCCCCAGATTCATGCTTCTCATATTCTACATCAAATTTTCCTCTCACTTCTGAGCACATCCAACAGGTGAACATCATTTCTGCTTTAGTCCAATTTTGTCATTAGCCATAGTGCTATTCATAATTGTTCTCTGCTTTTTCCCAGTAGCTCATTGAGTCCCATCCAACCTGGGAGTTTCATATTCTGGCATGATCTATTGCTTCATTTGTCTTTTATCATTGGGTTTTGATGGTAAACAATATTCAAAAGGAAGTTTAACATGCCCCTTTCTGGGTAGTAGTAATCAGTGTTAGGTATGGTGTGGTTGCCATTGTCTTTAAGAAATCCTCTGCCAATGTCACCTCTCACTACCACTCCTGCCCAGTAACATTTTGGCACATCAGATCTGGCTCCTCAGCAAAAGCCTGTCTGACATTGGAGACCCAATCAGCAGCACAATGAACATAAACACACCCACTCCCACCACCACAAAAAGGTAGTGCCATTGACGGGGGAAATGGAATCCTTGGTCCCAGGAGGAAGGGAGGAGTACAGAATTCAATTCCTAAATTGAATTAAAAAGTGGAGATAGTGGAATAGCTAGAAACATTTCTATGTTTTCATATTTAGAGCAAGGTTCTCAAACGTTACAGCCAATAACGTTAGAACTGAGAAGGCGGAAAATAACAAAAGGAGGTGATCTCCCTTCAAAACGTCCACGGCTCCAGAAGAACATGTGTAAGTATTTGCTGAAATATGTTTTACATGCCCATCAGTAAAAGAAAAAATGCATAAGAAAAGTGTAATTATTACTAGATTTTTCATTTAAATTGCTGAGCACATGAGGTTATTAAGCAGTCTAAAAGCATGGTAATCCAAATAGGGCAAAGAATTACTCATTTAAGTTTGTGAAAGAAAACTCAGGGAAAAATAAGCTGTTAGTTTTGACTTCTGTTCTCCTAAAGTTCAAAATGATACCTTTAGAGATTTCACACCATAATGAAATAATCACAGCAAAGATTTTTCGGCTTTAAATAAACATTTCTCTCAACGTGATGTATTGTTGGTATTTGACATCAGAGAAAATGTCTTAAGATGTGTAAAGGTAATTTAATAAGCAGGATGAAACTTTCTAACCTATGTGGTAAATTTGTGAGAAAGCTAGAAATTACTACTAGCAAATAGAAAATATGACTGAAATTCCTAAAGATTAATTTCAAATGAAAACTTTTTTTCCTTTTGGGCTGATAAATGAAAAAATAGAGGGGGATAGTTTTTTTTTCAATGCAGGAAAACAGCAACAAACACTTGTTGACTTTTTGAAATAAATGGGAGTGGTTTGGTGATAGTTGATTTTACTAATTAATGTGAATTTGCTATATAGATGAAGTGTAACCACAGATAAGATACAGTGAGGTTGATATCAAGTGTTAAAATGCAGTTCAAGAAAGGATTGTTGGAAGTCACCATTTTTCTTTTTCCTAGTTTGTTGGCTTTTATCTTTTACTGTATATATATTTTGTTGCTTGTAATGTGTAGTTTGTATTGTTTTCTATTTGCTATGTGTGTTATTTAATTTTTATTCAATGTAGATCTCAAATAAAAATGAAAACGAAGTTATAATGAATGTGATATGTTAAGATCTACTTAATAAATTGGTGTACAAATAGCTCTATATTTTATTTTAGCACAAGAGAATCTGAAAACTGTCCCAGACAATGAAAAAGATTCCATAAAGAGACAGTCAAGTCATTCTACAAGTAGTAATAATGAGACTTTAGATACAGACATTATTACACCACTGCCAGATGAAATTGAACCTTCAAAAGAGCCAGACTCAAGCCTCAAAGAAGTGACTGAAGGTAAATAATGTACTTTAGAAATCTGTCTTCCTGTGTTGACTATGGACAGACAGTACAGTTAAGTCTCTCCTTTTCAAATATAATTTACTTTTCCTACTGAGTGGCTTTTTCTGTCTTGGGTTTGCCACTAGTGCTCCAGAAATTAGATAATTCTTGAGAATCTTTGTGAAGTGTGGGGATGCATGGCGCAATTCTCTCCATATTGCAGCTGTAAACCCCTCCAGAACCGTGTAACATACAAAACGTTGGTGGATGCTATCCACAAAATAAACATTGGGTTATACAGTGTAGATAGCTTTAACCCTGCCAACTTTATGAACTTACCTTGCTGTGACATCAAGCCTATCCGTCATTATATTATTTGCATCATTTAAAAAACCTTTCATTATGCTTTAACTATCACAAAGATAAAACACTAGATATTTCTAATATTAATTTTCATGATCTAGGACGCAGGGAATCCTTAACATATATAAGAAATGACCATAAGTCTTTCCTAGTAATAATAATCTTCCACACTTTCACATGTGGTTCAAGAGGCATAAAGGTCTCTTGAATGATTAATAAAGTCGGTCACAGAAAATCAGACTGGCAAAATTGTGTGTGTTTGCCATGGATATCTTGAAAACAAGAAGTTAGTGTTTCTATCAGAGTGATAGTCCAAAGATGTTTCATCCACAATCCTATAGATAATCAACTGAACTTTCCACTTCGAAATGATGTCAAGCCTTGTGACTAATAAAAAGCCAATTCTTTTTATTTTAGTGATCTGTATTGATTTTCAAGTAAAGAGAGTAGTCCAGTTTTCAGGTCAGCATTAACTGTTTGATTTGCAGTTTCCAGTGGTCTAGTATCGTGTTACCTGTGGGCATTCCCACCACATATGTAAATAGGTGACCTTTGATTCACAATTTCTCTAGTGTTTACCATTCAGAGGACCACCCAGGTATTGCAGTTTGATTGGAGTTAGGTACCAGTGGTTGACTGATTTGATTTCATGTTCTTTAATACTATTACAAGTAGTTTTAAATTATAGACATTTTCATAAATAAGATCAGGTATTGCCTATACTGATTTTGAAGTCATTTATCCAATCTTGTCTGGCTGCTGTAGAATCAGGAAAACTGATTTCTAATAAGAAAGAAAAGGTACTAGATGTTATCAACATATCTTATAGGTGAAAATACTCGTGTATAAGTTGACTTTATAAAGAGGGCAAAGTGTGGACGTCTAACATACATACGTCTTCAATGATGACAGTGCAGCGTTGGCTTTTTTCTTTTTTTCTTTTTTTTTTTTTTGAATTCTTTATTTGAAGATTGTGTTCTAGTATCTTGTATCCAACTCCTATCTGCCTTTTTGTCTTTAAGGTCCATTAGAGGTATGCATTGAGTCAGAACTAAAGCTCAAGGAAGAGTTGCCTCCCTGTTCAGAAGAAGCATATCAGCCTTTAGTTGATAATAGTAAAGCAGAGGAAGACAGCATAACAGAATTGCCCTCTACACTTGAACTACAAGAGATTCCAGAGACATCTATTCCAGGTTTGGTTTTTCTAGTTTTATTTTTCAGGCCACACCTGTTTCTTTGGAGGAGAGTGGGGGTTAAGATCTTAGCTTGAAGGAATTATAATGGAGTGATCTGCTCACCTTCTGTGTATGATCTTAATGTCAACATTAACATGGTATTTCATAATTAAAATCCATCAATTGTTATATTCTTCCAGTAGCCAGCGCTTCTAAGAGAAATGATAGTTTTTCTGCTTCAAAAGCTGCAATTGAACATGAACCCAAGTTTCGATGCAAATTCTTAGATTGTTCCAAATCCTTTCGAAAAGCGAAGCTATTGCATTATCACATGAAATATTTTCATGGCATTGAGAAATCACCAGAACCACAACAGAGTCCAACAACAAGAAATATTCAAACAAGAGGTTCCTTGGCTTCTGAAAAAAGTAATCAAGACGTTTCTAACAGAAGGCGGACAACATCTGGTTGTTTATGTAAGTAGTTTCCTGAAACATTTCCTTTCAGTTATTAATATATTTATTTATTTTATCTCACCTTTCACTCAATATGGGGACTCAAGTATCGTGAATGACAGTACTGGCTGATAGCTAGAGAGGTTAGAGTGCTTCTTTGCCCCAATATAAGCATCTCCCCTTGCACTACTGTTTTCTTAACAAAATGTGACTGCAAGCTCAATTACTTGGTAACTTGGATAGAAAACCAGCCCAGAGATCCAAGTAGCGCAGAAATGTCCCTTGGCCCCATAGAGGTTAACTGAAGGGACATTTTTTAACAATTAAATTGGGGCGAATTGAGGACACTGAGTAAGGGGTGAAGAAGGGCTAGAGAATCATGTTGTTCATTCGTTCAAGGATGCCATCCATCCATCTTGCCCTTGGTCGGCTCTTCCTTTTGCCTTCCACTTTCCCCAGCATAATTGTCTTCTCTAGGCTTTCCTGTCTCCTCATGATGTGGCCAAAGTACTTCAACTTTGTCTCTAGTATCCTTCCCTCCAGTGAGCAGTCGGGCTTTATTTCCTGGAGGATGGACTGGTTGGATCTTCTCGCAGTCCAAGGCACTCTCAGCACCCCCCCTCCAACACCACAGTTCAAAAGCATCTATCTTCCTTCGCTCAGCCTTCCCTAAGGTCCAGCTCTCACATCCGTAGGTTACTACAGGGAATACCATGGCTTTGACTAGGCGGATCTTTGTTGCCAGTCTGATGTCTCTACTCTTACTATTTTATCGAGATTGGACATTGCTCTCCTCCCAAGAAGTAAGCGTCTTCTGATTTCCTGGCTGCAGTCTGTGTCTGCAGTAATCTTTGCACCTAGAAATACAAAGTCTGTCACTGCCTCCACGTTCTCTCCCTCTATTTCCCAGTCATTCTTGTTCCCATAATCTTGGTTTTTTTGACGTTTAGCTGCAACCCGTCTTTTGTGCTTTCTTCTTTCACCTTGATTAGAAGGCTCCTCAGCTCCTCCTCGCTTTCGGCCATCAGAGTGGTGTCATCTGCATATCTGAGGTTGTTAATGTTTCTTCCAGCAATTTTCACCCCAGCTTGCATTCATCCAGCCCCGCACATCGCATGATGTGTTCTGCATACACGTTAAAAAGGTTGGTGAGAGTATGCAGCCTTGCCGTACGCCTTTCCCAATCTTGAACCAGTCTGTTGTTCCGTGGTCAGTTCTTACTGTTGCTACTTGGTCCTTGTACAGATTCCTCAGGAGAGAGACAAGGTGGCTTGGGATGCCCATCCCACCAAGAACTTGCCACAATTTATTATGATCCACACAGTCAAAGGCTTTAGAATAGTCAATGAAGCAGAAATAGATGTTTTTCTGAAACTCCCTGCCTTTCTCCATTATCCAGCGGATATTGGCAATCTGGTCTCTCGTTCCTCTGCCTTTTCTAAACCCAGCTTGAACGTCTGGCAACTCTCGCTCCATGTATTTCTGGAGTCTTCCTTGCAGGATCTTGAGCATTACCTTACTGGCATGAGAAATAAGGGCCACTGTACGGAAGTTTGAGCAGTCTTTCGCATTTCCCTTTTTTGGTATGGGGATATAAGTTGATTTTTTTCCAATCTGATGGCCATTCTTGTGTTTTCCATATTTGCTGGCAAATGGCATGCATCACCTTGACAGCATCATCTTTTAAGATTTTAAACAGTTCAGCTGGGATCCCGTCGTCTCCTGCTGCCTTGTTGTTAGCACTGCTTCTTAAGGCCCATTCAACCTCACTCCTCAGGATGTCTGGTTCTAATTCATTCACCACACCGTCAAACTATCCTCGATATTATTATCCTTCCTATACAGATCTTCTGTATAGTCTCGCCACCTTCTCTTGATCTCTTCAGCTCCTGTTAGGTCCCTGCCATCTTTGTTTCTTATCATACCAATTTTTTGCCTGAAATTTACCTCCAATGTTTCTAATTTTCTGGAAGAGGTCTCTTGTCCTTCCTATTCTGTTGTCTTCTTCCACTTCCATGCATTGCTTATTTAAAAATAGTTCCTTATCTCTTCTGGCTAACCTCTGGAATTGCGCATTTAACTGGGCATATCTCCCCTTATCCCTGTTTCCTTTTGCTTTCCTCCTTTCTTGGGCTACTTCCAGTGTCTCAGCAGACAACCATTTTGCCTTCTTGGTTTTCTTTTTCTTTGGGACGTACTTTGTTGCCGCCTCCTGAACAATGTCTCGGACTTCTGTCCATAGTTCTTCTGGGACTCTGTTTACTAAATCTAGTCCTTCAAATCTGTTCTTCACTTCCACTGTATATTCGCTAGGGATGTTAGTGAGATCATATCTAACTGGTCTGTGTATTTTCCCTGATCTCTTTAGTTTTATTCTAAATTGGGCAATAAGAAGTTCGTGATCTGAGCTACAGTCAGCCCCAGGTCTTGTTTTCACCGACTGGATGGATGTCCGCCACCTTTGGCTGCAAAGGATGTAGTCAATCTGATTTGGGTGTTGACCGTCTGGTGAGGTCCATGTGTAAAGCCGTCTTTTAGGTTGTTGGAAGAGAGTATTCGTTATACACAGCGAGTTTTCCTGGCAAAATTCTATCAGCCTGCGTCCCGCTTCATTTTGTTCTCCCAGACCATGCTTGCCTGTGATCCCTGTTGTCATTTGACTTCCCTCCTTGGCATTCCAGTCTCCTGTAATGAAAATAATGTCTCTTTTTGGTGTATTATCCAGTAGGTCCTGCAGATCCTCATAGAACTGATCTACTTCTGCTTCTTCAGCAGCTGTGGTTGGGACATATATTTGGATCACTGTAATGTTGAAAGGCTTTCCTTGCACTCGAATTGAGATCATTCTGTCATTTTTTGGGTTGTATCCAAGCACCGCTTTAGCGACTTTCTTATTAATTATGAAGGCTACTCCATTTCTTCGATGTTCCTCTTGTCCGCAGTAGTAGATCTGGTGGTCATCTGATGTGAAGTGGCCCATTCCAGTCCACTTCAGTTCGCTGACCCCCAGAATGTCTATCTTTAGTCTTGACATCTCACCAATAACAACATCCAATTTGCCCTGGCTCATAGATCTTACATTCCAGGTTCCTATGGTGTGTTGATCTTTAGAGCATCGAATTCGTCGTTCACCTCCAGAGAATCATAGAATTGAAAGAAACCATGTAAGCCATTCAACCTCCTGCCATGTAGGATAAGCACAATCAAAACACCCCTGACAGATGGCTTTCCAGGCTCTGTTTAAAATCCTCCAAAGGAATAGCCTTCACCAGACACCAAGGCAATGAGTTCCACTGTTGAACAGCTCTTGCTCTTCATTAACAGTGTTGGATTACAGTAAAAGAATCAATTAGACTTGACCTGGGAAGCCTTGCCATTTTGTTCTATTCAATCCTACAGTGTTATTGTGCTAGCCTGCTGACATTGGGCAAGTTAAACAACAGCTACCTCCAGAATAAATGTCTGATAATGTGCAAACAGCACAAGAGAAAGAAAACAGGAAGACATATTTTAAAAAAGCCAAATATCTGCTGCCAAAATAGAAATTATAAGTAAAGTTGAGGCTGATGAAAGAAAGAAATGATCCTTGGATGCATTTTGGAAGAGTCCCTATTTTTTCTACACAATGTTACCTGGTTATTTCATTGCTAGTTGGTATTGTTAGTTTGGGATAAGAATGTTGCTGAAGTATGTTGAATGAACATTTCTTCCATGGTAGTTCTGTCTTGCTACCAAATTTTCTGGTGAAGAACTAATGATTAGATTTATTAACTGCTTTGTCAATTGAGGCATAGCTGTAGGGAAAACAAAAACAAATTTTATAGAGATTCATAATACGCACTCACCTAGATCACACATTAAATATTCATGGGAAATGTTTATGTAATTGTGATAGTTTCATTCTGATTTTTAACGAAATATTGGCATTAAATATAAATTATTTTCTAAAGCTACTAAAGAAAAGGAAAAGAACAAAGAGAAAAAAGTGAAAGATATTGCAAAAGCAAAAGCAAAGAAGAAAAAGAAGAAGAAAAAGAAAACTAAATCAGGTACTACTTTTACATTGCAAATTACTTAATTATTTTCATTTTGCTTTATGCCTCTTTTGTCCAACTGCTGTTATTTAACAGAAAATGTTACCTAAAACTGTTATGTTAGAGGCAACAGTGGAATCATTAATATGATAATTCTAAGTCTGCCAGAGATATCTCTGCCTATTTGTGTGGCTGCAGGCATCAGTGAATTCTAGTGGAGAATCAGAAATTGCAGATCTCTCTTCTGAGTTGCTTGGGAAATAACCCAAGGTCTGGATGCTATACACACAACCTCCATAATTTTGAAAGACTGTCCTTCCAGCTCTCCAGTTTTTCTGAAAAATGTTAGGGGCTTTGGGAGAAAACAGCCTGCCTTTCTGTTATATGGAGATAACATACACAGGCATAGGCTCTACTTGATGGTAGGAAGTAGATTGTATGGATGAGGTGTAAGCCTGTAGGTAGGTGTGTATATATAATCTGAGACACTATTCATTGTACTCTTCACCTTCTGTTCCCTGGTTTAATATGAAGATTTAATGTAAATATAATATTCTCAAGTCCTTAACTGTGAGGTTTTGTTTGTATCTATTTACTATCACATTTGTTCTTAAGTAATAATGCTTGTTCTTGAACAGAGCTTTCCGGGAGCGAAGAAAATATTCAATTTTCTCAAGATCTTTCTCCTCCAAGATCTGTTGTTACAACGAGATGTAGTTCAACAAGTCGATCATGTGCACACTTGAGTACTCAGCTACATGGAACTGATTCTGGACATCGTAAACACAAAGAAAAAATAAACGGTAAGCTGATATAGTTGCAGAATTTTTGGTAAAAGTCTTGACAGTTAGGAAAGGGCGTATAGAAAACACAATCTGTTGTGATAAAACTTGTTATATTTACTTGACAGACATGTAATGGCA